TTGATCAAAAATACAGTATTATTTGAAGAACAGAAAGTACAAAAGAACACCATTCTTTGAAAAAAAAAAAAAATCAACATTTTTTTGTAACATTATAAATGTATTTACTGTCACTTATGTCAATTTAATGTGGCCTTGTTGAATAAAATAAAACAAAACAAGACAAAATTTACCCCTTACTTACCCCCAAACATTTCAATGGTTGTGTATATATTGGTCACACAAACAAAAGACCAAAAGTGCTACATTTTATAAGCCAGTAATTACTCTCTTGAAACTCATGTTAAAGATTACAATCTCTTACTTGAAATGCTGACCCTCACAGAACACTGATTTGAATGCTCGTTCAGCAACCCAATGTTTCCCAAATGTGAGGTTACGAAACAAATTGCACACACTTCCTGCAGACTCCATGACCTCAAACTCAGCCTCACCATTCCCGCAAGCCACAGGATCTCCACGTTCTTTCTCTTCTTGGTGACTACATTCTGGCCGAGGGTGTCGAGCAGTTCCTTGATGTCTGTCTGTGTCTGAAAACATGGCAGGCCTTCGGAAAGAAGAGAGAAAAAGAGCAGACACTTGAGATGTCATGCATTAACAGGTTTAAAGAGGGCTTGTTTGTCCCTGTATCGACAAGCACTAAAGATGAGATTGAAAAGTCTGGGGACATGTTATTTTTCTGATAAACAGGCAGATGGAAAGAAGACAAGATGTGACATGCTGCGATGCAGCTTGGCATTCGTCTGCTGGGAGCATTCATCATCTAGAGCCGTCACACTCCATAGACGTGATTGACATATCAGAGAACAATAAATTCCTGCACTCAAATCCTTTAAACATGAGACGCTGCGCTCGACACAGACACTGCAGAAGTGTCGCATGAATGCCCATTGTCAGAAGTTGGTCTAAAAAACAAAATCAGTCGACTGTAGGCTTTTTGTTTTTTCGTTTTCAGAAATAACAAACACATAATAACAAAATTTAAATAACAAAATTTAAGTGATAAATGTAGACTTCAATATGAAAATATATTAAAACATTTTCCTGATTTGATTTAAATCTCTTTATCAGCCCACTATCAAAGATTTATAATGTGTGTGTATATATATATAAATATATATACTGTATATATATGTACACACACACACACACACACTCAAATTTTCTAATTCAAATGCATTTATTTAAAATAATTTAACAGAAAAATCTTTTGTAACATTATAAATATCTTGTATAAATGTTAAAATTTTTGATAAAAGTCCCATTATAATAAAATGTAAATCTATTTTTTTTTTTTTTACAGTTACAGTAGTTAATTTGAGTTGAAACATGACAGTCTCAGTATTAATCTTTTTTTTTTTTATTATGGGTGACTCTCAGTTCATCCTCAAAATTAAAAGAAATAAATGTAATAAATTAAAAGAATGTTGAGAAATAGTAAGAATGTTGCAGAAATGTTTATTTTTCAATATTTTGTTTATTTATATATACATATGCGTGTTTTTTATTATCTGTGTGTTGTTGTCTCTGTGTACTGGAAGCATGTGACACTAAAACAAATTCCTTGTATGTGCAAACATACTTGACAATAAAGCTCTTTTTGACTTCTGACTAAAGAAAGTGAAAAGTTTTTTTTTTGCAACTTTAATATCAACATCAATCATTTTTGCAGTGCACAATACCAAGTTGATAACTAGTTTCTAAATATATTGTTCCCAATGTTTGAATAAAAGTAACTGATGAATGACTAAATGCAATATAAAAAGCTCAGTTTCTCGAATGATGAACTTACATTCAGATGGCAGCGTGTTGGTTAAGGATTTATAGTAACCTTCAAGAATCTCGAAGTTCTTCTGGTTTATTCTCTCCTGTAAAGATATATCACCAAATCTGAGGGGGAGACACACAGAGAGCACAAGCATCATGTTCCAGCTCAGACACGCTTCACTGAGCATTTATGCTTGTAGGGATTGAATTCCACTTCTATCAGTCAGTGCTTGTACCTCTCAGCGATGGTTTGTTGCTCGTTGATGCCCACATTGAAGAGCACGGGGAGCACGCGCAGCGGCTTGCCCTGGCGCAGCTCATCCGGGAGCGTTTGGAAGGCATGATGTGGGAGAGGCACCTCGACAGTGTAACGGTCTCTGGGACAAAAACAGGTTACATTTCCAAACTCTGTCAATACCAGCATGTTCCCACAGCTTCCTTGGACTCACTTGCACTCACACAATGCATCCATATTAACACAGTGCACTTCCATAATACCATAATTTTGTAATGGTTTTTAAAAGATGTTTCATATGCTCACCAAGGCTGCAATTATTGGATCCAAAATACAGTAAAAACAGAAATGTTGTGAAATATTATTACAATTTAAAATAACTGCTTTTTATGTTAATATATTGTAAAATGTAATTTACTCCTGTGATCAAAGCTGTATTTTCAGCATCATTACTCCAGTCTTCAGTGTCACATGATTGTCAGAAATCATTCTAATATGCTGCTCAATAAACATTTCTTATTATTATCAATGTTGATTCCTATTTTTGAGGAAACTATGACACATTTTGTAACATTATAAATGTATTTACTGTCAGTTTTGATCAAGTTAATGCATTCATGCTGAATAAAAGTTCTTCAACAACTTACTAACAGTAAAATTCTCTATATTAATTATTTAATTAAAATATTATTAATGAAAATATTTATTTAAATTACATTTTAATAATATGATATAATATAATAATTAATATAAAAACGTAAACAAAATATGAAACGTAAAAAAAATTAGATCAGTACATAACTGGAAAATATGAGTGACTCAAATATTTATTTCCATTACTTTTTTATTTTATGTTTTTAATCATTTTTGTCTTTATTACATAGGACAGTAAAGAACTGACAGCAAGTGATATGAGAGATAGAAAGAGACGCTTTTTTAGGATAGTTTTTAGGATATGAATGTTCACTCATGTATGTTTGTGTGTGTGTGAGGGGCTCTCTCACCGTCTACCGCTGACGGTGGGCTGCAGGCTGACAGCTTCCTCAGACGCCGCCTCTGTGATCCTGAAGCTCACTCTGTGCAGGTCACTGATCCCCACCTCCATGTCCTCCAGCATCCCTATTTCCTCACCTGAGTGACAAACATCTGTGTTACTACAGCATATACCAGCTGTCTTCATGAGGAAATACTACAGACTTTTTCTGAGTTAAAATAAAGATGCAATTTTGTTCTAAAACTTAAATTACCATGCAATACAAGCACCCAAATATATACTGTACAAATGCATAAATACATATATTGTATACAGTTGTACAGAGGTTGGATTGGTTTAGTGGGTAATATAATTTGGGAAAAAATCATTGCATTTTCTTTATAATATATTTCAATTTATCTTTATGTTGTCTATATTCTCTAGATTGTACATCAGTATAGTATAAATTCTGCAGTGATTAGTACAAGCCGTGGGTGAAATGGGTGATTTCCAAAAAGGACAAATCACAGGAGCCCGTTTAGCAGGAGCGTCTGTATACTTGAGAGCCCAGATGTTTGGTGTTTCAAAATAGTCTTTAATCATAATGACTACACCAGCAAAGCATGGCAATACTTCATCAGTGAAGAATAATGGTGGGTCGAAAACCAAAAGTGAATGATAGGAACCACTGACTGTGTCCCAACAACACAGAACTACTGCAGCAATGTGAAGGCAAACCTCACACAAAACCTGACCACAAAGCCACCATCCATAAATAAATAAATAAATAAATATATATATATATATATATATACTTACACAAAATAAATAAATAAATTATATATATATACACATATATATTACAAATTTTCATTTTAACTTGATGCACTAGAATAACTATGAAATAAAAATGAATAAAAACGACACAGGAATATAAAAACTAATACAAATTACAAAAAAATCACTAAAACTTTAACTAAAATTTTAAATACATCCATAAATAAATAAATATATAAATATATATATATATATATATATATACGTACACAAAATAAATAAATAAATTATATATATATACACATATATATTACAAATTTTCATTTTAACTTGATGCACTAGAATAACTATGAAATAAAAATGAATAAAAACGACACAGGAATATAAAAACTAATACAAATTACAAAAAAATCACTAAAACTTTAACTAAAATTTTAAATAAAATAGAAAATATAAAGAAAAAAACTAATTCAAAATGTTAATAAAACTACAATAATACTGCCTAACTACCCTGTTTGACCAGAAATGTTGATCGCGGAACACGGCACGCTGTACCTCACTATCTTAAGGCACAGGAATTATATCATAAGCAACGTAATTCTCTAAACATTACCCGGGAACACAGTTGACACAGTAATCTCCCCACCGGCACTGCCTCAATAGATTAACTTTCTCCGAGCGCAGCAAACAATCGCAGTCATTCATGAGTAATTCAAACACACTTCATCAAACAAAAACAACAGCCTCCAGCACTTCACACTGCAAGAAAGGTGAACTGAGGTCAAACCCGTATCGTGTTAAGAAGCATGTTCAAGCACTTGACTGTAATCTGTGATCTAAGGATCACAACTGGAAGTGTGTTTATTTCAAAGTTTGGTCGCTGCGGGAAACAGTCATACGGCAATCATACGCAGAGAACTAAAGTGCACAATAAAGCATTAAGACACACTTGAATTACAGTCATTTTACCACATGTACAGTGCCAAAACAGTAGTGAAGTGTCATGTGGCCAAGTATGGTGACCCATACTTGGAATTAGTGCTCTGCATTTATCCCATCCAAAGTGCGCACACACACAGCAGTGAACACACACACACACCGTGAACACACACCCGGAGCAGTGGGCAGCCATTTTTTGCTGCGGTGCCCGGGGAGCAGTTGGGGGTTCGGTGCCTTGCTCAAGGACACCTCAGTCGTGGTATTGAAGGTGGGAGAGAGCGCTGTACATTCACTCCCCCCACCTACAATCCCTGCTGGTACGAGACTCGAACCCGCAACCTTTGGGTTACGAGTCCGACTCTCTAACCATTAGGCCACGACTTCCCCCTAAGGAGTAGTAAGTTAATAACGCACAGTCTTGAGTGGCTTATTGTTTTTATAAAACAGTTTTAACAGTTCTATACAAGTCCACTGAAGACAGGAAGACAGGGTGGCATATATCGAGCTCCGCCCCTTTTTAAATAGCCAATAGCATTTTGTTTAATTAAAACACAGCTCACCACTGCGGCAGTTCGCGAGACAATGCAAAACCAGACTTCATTTGCCCCAATGGAAAGCATATTTACACTGAATTGTTCCCTATCCCCTATGCAGTGCACTTCACCATATAGAAAGCAGTAATTCTGTAAACAATTGACTGATTTCCGCTACAACTTCAATGTCTGTTTATAGTGTAGGAGACGGGACACTTCAGATTCTAGAGAGCATTTGATTTAACAAAGTTTGAAGAGAAGCTGAAGTGCAGGGTGATGTCATCAAAATCGTTGATCCACATTGGTGGAAGTGAGAGACTGTAAGTTTGGAATGTTTATATCTTATAAATGTGAATTTTGTCATTGATTTGGAGCACACTTGCTTATAGATAACGTTAAGGCTAACATTAATACTAATAGCCAAACATCTTCAATTTTGATTTCATGGGGACTTTAATAATAATAATCAGAAAAAAACCTTCCAAAAGTAATTTATTCACTAAAACAGAAAAAAGAAAAAATAATAGTGTAGAAACAATTTGCAGTAAATATCACAATTAATTAAAAAGGACTGAAATTGTGTTTCCTAGTAAAAATACTGAAAAAATTGGTTTTATTTAAAACTTTGAATTGTTTTTATTATTATTACCCAAGTAAAAAACCTATGCCACAATTTATTTAAAATACATTTATTTCATACTAAGTATAGTTTAAATCTATTAACTAGGGCTGTCAGTTTAAAGGCACAATATGTACGATTTTTTAAATTAAAATATCCAAAAACCACTAGAACAGTGTTATATATTTTGCTGACTTGTGTACTTACATTATCCCAAAATGTTTCAAAGAATGTTTAAATCCAGAGAAATAAGCAATTTTAACTAGTGACACGGACCGTGTCCATAGTGTCATTGTGTC